CACCAAGGAGAGGGGAAGACCCCTAAAATTCTGTGTTCCTAAGTATAGAGGAAAGAATTAGGCTTGGCCCGAAATGCTCGATGAGGTGAGGGACACAAACACTTCCTTCATTTAACAAATACATATTGAACACCTACTACGTGCCAGGCAATGTCCTCAGAACTAATTCACTTTGGAATGCTTTAAAAGTAAAATAGACAGACAGGGCTCCTGCGCTTATGAAGGTCAAATAGTGTGATGTCTCAGCGTTAGAAACTAAAGTGTTAAGAGGTGATACCACTTGTGGAAGGTCACACAGCAGTTCTGTTGCACAATGAAGACTGAAACGCAAGTGTAGCTGACTCCCACAACAAAGTGCTTTCTCCTCCAAGATGGTCATGACCTTTCTCTCCTTTCCCTCTTGCTGTGCCCCCCTCCCATCTCTGTCCAGCAGGATGACTCCAGAGAATGTCACCGGGGCCAGGGTGGTCCCTGCTGAATTCATCCTCCTGGGCATCACAGGTCGCTGGGACCTGCGCCTGACCCTCTTCCTGGTCTTCCTGCCCGTCTACCTGCTGAGCCTGCTGGGGAATGTGGGCATGGTGCTGCTGATCCGCGTGGATGCCCGGCTGCACACGCCTATGTACTTCTTCCTGGCCAACCTCTCCCTGCTGGACGCCTGCTATTCCTCTGCCATCGGCCCCAAGATGCTCGTGGACCTGCTGCTGCCCCGCGCCACCATCCCTTACACGGCCTGTGCCCTCCAGATGTTTGTGTTTGCGGGGCTGGCTGATGCCGAGTGTTGCCTGTTGGCGGCCATGGCCTATGACCGCTACGTGGCCATCGGAAACCCTCTTCTCTACACCACGGCCATGTCACGGCGTCTGTGCCTGACCCTGCTGGGAGCCTCGGGCCTGGGGGGCGCAGTGAGCGCCTTGGTCCACACGACCTTCACCTTCCGCCTGAGCTTCTGCCGCTCCCGGGAGGTCAACAGCTTCTTCTGCGACATCCCTCCGCTGCTGGCCATCTCCTGCGATGACACCAGCCTCAATGAACTCCTCCTCTTCGCCGTCTGTGGCTGCATCCAGACGGCCACGGTGCTGGCCATCGTTGTGTCTTACGGTTGCATCGCCGGGGCCGTGATCCGCATGCGCTCGGCCGAGGGCCGGTGGCGGGCGGCCTCCA